GATTCTTCTGAATGAATAGATATGAAAGGGAATCCATATACCTGAATTTGACTTCTATTCCCAGCAGTGATATTTGAAATTGTCCAGCAAGCTTCTTCCTTGATGATTTTTTCGTGATTTTGTGTGAGAAGTTGGTAGAGACAAGGGAGGACATGGTTCTCAATCACAAACTAAAACAAATAAAATGAGTTATTTCTCACTGTGTGAGGAACAGTATATCAAGGATGTGTGTGTGTGTGTGTGTGAGAGGGAGAGAGAGAGTGTTTCAATTTCCTCAGCGCTACCATTCCACTAAAATGCAGTATACCTGAATTTGACTTCTATTCCCAGCAGTGATATTTGAAATTGTCCAGCATTCAGCATTTCAAAATTTCAGTTTCCTAATTAATTCTTGTTAGAATAGGTATTCCATAAAGCTTTGTGATGACATCTTTTCAGATACATCTATATAATATATGTATATAAACACATAGCTAATGTACCTTATCATTCAAGAGTAAAGAGTCAGAGACTTATAGGATACTCCTAAAAGAATAATTAAACATAATTTCTTCCCCCGTACAGTACAATGTATGCAAGGGCTACTGCCCAACAAGAATTAAAAACTTGTCCATCATCCTCTGCATTCGTCATCATTTCTGAAAGACTATATAACTGCCCCATCCAACCTACCAATCCCTACTAACTGTAAAGAAATTCTCAATCCTAATCCTCCTAGATTTATTTTGCACCGCATAGATAAATTAGTGAAATGTTATGTAAAACACGTGAAATTCAAGTATTATTTTAGCCAAATTCGCTGACTGACATACGGAATTCCTATTTGACCAGTCCCTAACCTCCATGAGTAAAGACTCAAGGTAGTAATTAAAGCCTTAGCACTCACCATGTTCGGAATGTGCAGAAAGAATTGAGCTTGTGACCTTAGAGTAGAAGAAAAAATAATCTCATCATTTGGTTGCCGCTTACACCTCAACAAATATAGTACTTTTTTATTTACTCTTAACAATCTCTTATTCAGATTGTTTTTCAATATTGATTATTAGTCAATTTCATAAATAAAAATAAATACAAAGTACTTGAAAGTATGTATAACATTAACATATTATATGTGTGTGTGTGTGTGTGTGTGTACATTTATATATATGCTCAGAGATACTATTGCACTTCCACTCCACGAATCAGTTACTTAAGGTAAAATATCTAACTGCACCACTGATTGCCTCCTTCAACAGACAAGGATGTCTCAAAAATGATCATATTATGCCTTTATTATTGTGTTTATTGATGATATCTTGATATACTCCTGTAATAGAGAGAAACACATGGATCATTTACGTACAACATTACAAACTTCGCAAAAAAAGTGGTTGTTTGCCAAATTAAGTACATGTGAGTTCTGGTTGGATAGTGTGATAGAGTCTAGCTCATAGAGGAAGAGTACCCACGCTAGCATGCAAAAAACCCAAACACGCCTTTAAACGAGCTCCAGCAGAAAGGATTAATCTCGCCATAGAGGAAAGAATGAATCTCTTCAGACTGGAACAAGATAGCCAGATCTGGAAGATAAAACCCTGACTGTTTTCTAGGAGCATGTGATCACTAGGGATGGAATTTGTATTGATTCTAAAAAGGTGCAAGCCATAACAAAGTGGAAAGACCAAACTTTAACGTTGTGTTTGGTTGGGAGATTTGGGAAGGAATTTGGAAAAGGAAAAGGAAACGATATGAAATGTAGGTATATTTTATTCACATTTCACCTACCTTTTCCCTTTTCTTTTCCAAATCCATTCCCAAATCCCCTAACCAAACACAGTGTAAAGAGAGAAATTTTGGAAACCTAGGTAGTACTAAGATGTATTACAAAATGGGGAGCATTATTGGAGTGGAATGAAAAGAGAGATGGCTGATCTTGTTGCTTATTGTTTGGTGTGTCCACAAGTAAAAACTGAGCATCAATGTCTTGCAAGTTTGTTGCAACCTCTTCCTATTCTTGAGTAGAAATGGGAGAATGTCACAATGGATTTTGTGGTTGGACTTCCTCACTTGGTCCCAGCAAGGCTATGATTCTATGTGGGTGATTGTGGATAGATTGACCAAATCAACCTATTTCTTACCTATTACGGTTAAGTATTCTATCGACAAGTATGCTACATTGTATGTTGATGAGACCATTCTCTTGCATGGGACTCCAATATCTATTGTTTCAAACAAGGATCCTAGCTTTGCTTCTAGATTTTGACCCAGTTTACAGCAAGCTATGGGGACTACCTTAAAATTTAGAGTTGGTTTGGGAATAAGCTATTTTAGTAACTTTTTGGCTAAAATATGAGGTGAAAAAAATAGTATGTTTGAAATGCTTTTTTGTATAGTTCTTTGGCTTTTTGGCTTTTTTAGTGGCTTTTTGGCCACTATTTGATGTTGCCAAACTTACCTTTAGTTCAACTTTTCATCCCCAGACAAACAGATAGTCTAAAAGGACTATCTAGACCTTGGAGGATATGTTGTGGTCTTGTGTGTTGCACTTCAAAGATAGCTGGGATAAGCATTTGCCACTGATAAAAATTGCCTATAATAACAACTATCAAACAAGTATTGGTGTGGCTCCATATGAGGCTTTGTATGGCCAAAAGTGTAGAACTCCAATATGTTGGAGTGATGTGGGGGAAAGAAATTATTGGGACCTGAAATGGTTCGAACAACTATTGATGAAGTGGAAGTAATACAAGATCACTTGAAAATCGTACAAAGTTGTCAGAAAAGTTATGCAGATAATCGAAGGAGAAATCTAGAGTTTGCTATTGGTGACAGGGTATTCTTACGGGTGTCAATATGGAAAGGGGTGATGTGGTTTGTTAAAAGGGGTAAGTTGAGTCCGCGGTATATTGGCCCTTGTGACATTATTGAGCAAATTGGGACTACAACTTACTGGTTAGCATTGCCATGTGAGTTGTCTTGGTTACATGATGTATTCCACGTCTCAATGTTATGAAAGTACATTCCAAATCCATCACATATATTTACTACTCAGCCTATTGAATTGAAAGAGGACTTCTCATATGTTGAGGAGCCAGTGCAGATTTTAGATCGTCAACATCAAGTACTACAGAACAAGACCATATCGTTGGTGAAAGTTTTATGCAGGAGATACACATCCGAGGAGGCAACTTGGAGAGCAAGGAGCTCATTTGTTTAAACATGGTAAGTTACGGGACGAAATTTTAATTAGAAGGGGAGAATTGTAATATTCACAACCTAAATTAGAGGTTTATAATTTAAATTAAAAACATCAATTATGATTATAAAATTTAAGGATGGTTATTATAGTTGTTATGATAAACTATGATTGGTTTAAGTGTAATAATGTAAATAAAAAACCAGGGATTAAGAGATTTCCAAAATATACATTAAAAGCCAAAATTGTGCCAGAATGATCTCCAACACATTTTTTAAAAAATAAAAATAAAATTATCTTCAACCAAGGGTCAAAATTTCATTTTAGTGTATTGTTTTGGTTAGCTTGGAAAAATATCAAAAAAACATAAGAATGGAAATAAAAAAAGAATTTAGAAACGTATGAAAAACATTTGGAAACAAAAACTAAAACTTATATAAATATTAATACATTCTCAATAATAAAATAATTGAACATATTGAGGTCTATGAATATTAGAAGCTCCTCTCTTTTAGTGATTTAATTCTGACCATCTCTCTCTCTTTGTCTGTCTGTGAGGAAGTGATCAAATAGGAGGCCTAGCTATGTTACATGGACTTGGGTATGGTGTTTGGCGGAGGTATGAGCCTAAGTGTCAGATTCTTCTAGTTTCGATGTCTAAAGACACTGGCCACAGCTACACATCATATTTTCTTAATATTATTCTTTTACCATTTAGGGTAAGTTGGTATTTTTTATTTTTTATTTTTTATTTTTTATTTTTTTGATTGGCACTAGAGTGTCCGCATCAAAGCCTAACTAATCCCTAGGGGTGTAGCAGTTTCCTGCAAATCCACCACAGTTAATTCAAGGGTAGGTTGTTATTTACAAAGTAACATAGATGATAGAGCCGCTGATGCAAAATATGAGAGTTTTATGCATAGTTGTAGAGTAAAATCAATGACAAGACAAACTTATTTCTTTTAGTGATGTAATTCTGACCATCTCTCTCTCTTTGTCTGTCTGTGAGGAAGTGATCAAATAGGAGGCCTAGCTATGTTACATGGACTCGGGTATGGTGTTTGGTGGAGGTATGAGCCTAAGTGTCAGATTCTTCTAGTTTCGATGTCTAAAGACACTGGCCACAGCTACACATCATATTTTCTTAATATTATTCTTTTACCATTTAGGGTAAGTTGGTATTTTTTATTTTTTATTTTTTTGATTGGCACTGGAGTGTCCGCATCAAAGCCTAACTAATCCCCAGGGGTGTAGCAGTTTCCTGCAAGTCCACCACAGTTAATTCAAGGGTAGGTTGGTATTTACAAAGTAACATAGATGATAGAGCCGCTGATGCAAAATATGAGAGTTTTATGCATAGTTGTAGAGTAGAATCAATGACAAGACAAACTTATTGCTTGCACAATCAACTAGACATGTTGGACACATATCTCATACCCTAACCCACATGTCAATTGCATTTGTAATAGTCCATATAACAGAGGGGGCAAGTTTGGTAATGTGTTTTCAATACCACAAGGACCGATGGAATCATTTCCATGGAGAAAAATGGAACATCTAGAATTTGTCGTCTAAAATTTTCATTACTGATAGTATTGATGTCCCTGTTTTGTATCACAATGGCATTCTCCCTAAGCCTGGTTACAAGAAGAATTTAAAGCTTCCAAATTTTTTCCCTGGATGGGTTTTATGGTTGTTGATTGTTAAAACCTATCACCTACTTCACCCACTTCACCTACTCCACTTCACCTACTCCACCTACTACCTATTCTTCTCTTCTATATATAGGAATTGTAAACATAACAACATATAATAATCAATAATACATACAATTTATTCTCTCTCTATCAATTTATTTTACATGGTATTAGAGCAGGTTTAGAACCTAGTATTTTTCACTTCACCGGCGGGCGGCAACCTCATCTTAGCCGTCCGCCGGACCTCAATCTATTCCGCTTATTTTCTACACTCCGGTGAGGAAGTCTCACACATCCACTGCAGATCTACTCACCTGGTCTGAACAAAAGGACACCTTGTTCAGGGTATAAATTAAAGGAGATGACTGGTAGCTCCATTTTTGCTGCTGATGCAGAAAATGGGGCACTAGAATCTGATGTGAACCCTACTCCAAATAACCAAACTGGGTTACGTATGTACCAGCAAGCGGTCGCTGGACTCAGTCACATCTCCTTTGGTGAAGAAGAAAGTGTTTCTCTCAAGAAGCCAACTGCACTGCATGAGGTGTCAAAGCAGCGTGAGTTGAGTGGGACGCTAGAAAGTGAATCGGAGGCCAAGTTGAAGAAGCAACTTTCTGATGCTAAGTGCAAGGAACTTAGTGGGAATGACATCTTTGCTCCGCCTCCTGAACTTCAACCACGGCTGTTGGCAGCTCGAGCTTTGGCCTTAAGAGAAAGCATAGAAATTGGCGAACCTGCACCACGTAACATACGCACATCTGTCAAAGTTTCTAATCCCGCTGGAGGTCAGAGCAGTGACTTGTTTAATGAGGAGCCCATAATCAAGCCAGCAAAGAAGATTCCCAACCAGAAATTTGCAGAGCTGAATGGTAATCACATTTTCAAAGGAGATGCTCCACCAACATCTGCTGAGAGATCACTGAGTTCAGCTAAGCTGCGAGCAATGAGTGGCCACATATTTTTGCTGATGGGCAGGTAGAATCTCGAGACTACTTTGGCGGGGTTCGTAAGCCTCCTGGTGGCAGCAGCATCATTGCCCAAATCCTCTCTTTCTCGGAGGCAACCCAGAAACACACCACAGAATCATTATTATGCTTCCCACTCTCCCCCACCTTTCTTTATTTTATATATATATATATCTCTTTTTATTATACTATATTACCCACACACTTCACTTTCACACCACCACACCGTCTGATCCCACTATCCTTTTTATTTATTTTATTTTATTTTCTTTCTTTCAAACAAAACAAAAACCATTGCAGGTTTTAACAAAACCGTGGGCCAAGAAACCCACGTGAACCAATCTCTTTTTTCCCTCACTCTCTCGTTTTGATTTCAAATATATTATTATTATTTCTTTCTTTTTTTTTATTTTTCTTTCACTTTATTTTTAATCTTTTTTTTTCATTCTTATTTCTGCTCCGTATTCTGTCATTCCTGTCATACGATTTGCACAAACCACAAAAAAAAAAAAAAAACACAAACACAAACACAAACAAAAAAACAAAAACACAAAAACACAAAAACACAACAACACAAAAACCACTCGTTTTATTCCTGACAAGGATCAACCCCGATCACATTTCTACACCAACACACAAAAAAACAAAAACAAAAACAAAAACAAAAACAAAAAAAAACAAACAAACAAACAAACAAAACCACAACAACACAACCACACCCACAGTGGGCTTTTTCTTCTCTACTCTGCCGTCGGTCTCTTCTTTTTGCCTCCGTCCTGGACGGCCCTTGACGGTGTTGCCTCTGTGTTTCCCACTCCACTGGGCACGATCACTACTCCCTGCTCCTCCACTGCAGCATATGGCGGCTCTCCAAATCGGAACATAACGGTAGCCTTCCGCTTCAGATCCTTGTTTTCCGCTTTTAGCACACATATCTCTGCTCGCGCATCCTTATACATGCGTTGGAGCAGAGCCAGTTGGGCATTTAACTGCTGCACCTCATTTGTCCTACTCTGCAGCCGGTGCGACAAGTTTGTGACCGCAGTCATGGTTTCCACACATGACTTCAAAGTATACTGATTAGCCTCAATATCAGTTTGCACCGCCATTTTTTGCTCCACAGACCGCATAGGAAAGTTCAACGGAGCAAACCCAGAGGCGCTTGGTTGAGGTTCAAGGGCCACCGCACCGGTTATCTCTCTTGTGGACTCGTTGAGGTCTGGAAAGAGAGTGAGCAGCCCACGGGAAGACGAGGCCATGTTTTGGGTTGCTGAGTGTTTCAGCGCAGCAGCGATTTCCGACTAGTACTTTCAGAGAAGGGTTGGTTACAGAGTGTTTACAGAGTATTTCAGACTGCAAATGTTTAGAGGTTTCAGACTGGTTTGCACAGCCTCCGCCTCAACCTTGGTTTAAATAGCCAAGGCTGATACGCGCATCGCGCGCCACTTGACGCCAGACGACAAAACGGGCGCGCAAGCCAAGGTAGTCACGCGCCTCGCCATAATGTCCGGCACACCTTTTTATGGATTGGGCACGCCTTTTGATGGCACGCCTTTTGATAGATTGGGCACACCTTTTGAGGGTGCGACTTTTCCAACGGTCCGACATGACCCCATAAACTGTCTTCTACATCGGTCTGACACGACCACACAGTGTCTGCTACAACGGTCCGACATGACCCCGTAAACTGTCTTTTACATCGGTCCGGCATGACCTCGTAAACTGTCCTGCTACAACGGTCCGACATGACCCCGTAAACTGTCTTCTACACCGGTCTGACACGACCACACTGTGTCTCCTACAACGGTCTGACACGACCATACCGTGTCTCCTATCCTGTTTTATTTTATTTATCAGTTTATTTTCTTGTTTTGTTACTCTCTCCAAACTCAAGTTGGTTAGTTCCTATCCCCCTTGAGTTTGCGGGGGGCTGTTAAAACCTATCACCTACTTCACCCACTTCACCTACTCCACTACACCTACTCCACCCATTTCACCTACTCCACTTCACCTACTCCACCTACTACCTATTCTTCTCTTCTATATATAGGAATTGTAAACATAACAACTTATATTAATCAATAATACATACAATTTATTCTCTCTCTATCAATTTATTTTACATTGATTATAGATGTAGCTTGTGTCTATTTTTTACTCTATTTGAGGAATTGGGCTACAACAAGAATCATTTAAACTCTGCAATTTCTTTATGCTAAAGGGTGTTTGTGACCAAAACCATAAACTATTTGGTCTGGTTTTGATTTTTTCCTCCTAGGTTGCTATAATTCTGTTCCGTCTTTCTGTAGCTCTTTCGTAGTTTATTCCTTCCTTTTAGTACCTCTCTCTCCCTCCTCGAACATGATTTTGAAGACAAAAAAGGGCAGAAAAGAAACACAGCCAGAAGTTACACTTCTATTCATTACAAAAAAAAGAATGCCAAAAAGCTTGTCTGAAAATGTTATGGGAATCTGATCAAACTAAGAAGTTTTTTTTTAGCATAATTTTTTCATATTTAAATGATATTCTATTTTGATACAATAGCCCGTTTGGTATAACTTATAAGTTAGCTTTTGTGATTATTGCTTTTTAGATTATTATCTTAAAAGAATTAAAATAAGTTGTAAATCTGTTTTGGGTGGCTTTTAATAATCTGTGAAAAAAGTTAGATGTTCCATTTTTCTCCATGGAAATGATTCCATCGGTCCTTGTGGTATTGAAAACACATTAACCAAACTAGCCCCCTCTGTTATATGGACTAAAACTAAGAAGTTTTTTTTAGCATAATTTTTTCATATTTAAATGATATTCTATTTGACGCAATAGCCCATTTGGTACAACTTATAAGTTAGCTTTTATGATTATTGCTTTTTAGATTATTATCTCAGAATAATTAAAATAAGCTGTAAATCTGTTTTGGGTGGCCTTTAATAATCTGTGAAAAACGTTAAACATGTTTGGTTAAATAAGCTGTCACATAAATTTTTTTGTTGTGCAAATATATAGAATGCCCACAAAATGTTTTGTCTCTATGTATTTAAGGATTTCAAATAAGCTCAAAAAAGCTGCAAACTGTAGTTTATGAAAATCTCACATTTTTTGGCTAAATAAGCTAAAAAAGTCAAATAAGCTGTAATTTACAATTGCAACCAAACACTAATAGTCAACTTGTTTAAAGCAAGTAAGTTGAACAAAATTGAATTTTAAGCGTTACCAAACAAGGCCAATATAATATATTTCCGTACACCATTGACATCAGGATTCAGTTCCAGCTGACTATGAGGTTAAACCAATGAACCTCATCTCGGTCTCTTTTCTGGTTTATTAGATAAACCAAGTTTTACAACATTTATAAGTAAACAAGACTTGGAAATTCATTGACTGTTAATAATGGTATTCTATTTTGATACAATACGTTACCAAACAGGGCCAATATAATATATTTCCGTACACCATTGACATCAGGATTCAGTTCCAGCTGATGACCATGAGGTTAAACCAACGAACCTCATCTCGGTCTCTTTTCTGGTTTATTAGATAAACCAAGTTTTAAAACATTTATAAGTAAACAAGACTTGGAAATTCATTGACTGTAAATGATGGTTTTCTATTTTGATACAATATAAGATCCTTCCATACATCATTGACATCAGGATTCAGCTCCAGCAGGCCATGAGGTTAAACCAATCAACCTCATCTTTCTCTTTTCTGATTCATTAGACAATCCAAGTTTCATAACAGTGATAAGTAAATCAGACTTGGAGATTCGGATGGAAATGTATTGACTGTATACAGGTCACTAGCTTCTGCCTTTCTGGTAAAAAGGAGCAAAATAGAGAACTTATATATATATATATATATATTATATATATATATATATTTCTGGAAAGAATGATTAACTAGTGGCCACAGAAGTTCCAAAAGCCCTTGCATACACAGGAGCTCTCATATTGAAAAGGTTCAAGCATTAAGTTTTACAGAAATCAAAGAAAGGTCTCTGTTTATAGGTAGAAATAAATGAAGGGTCATGCACATAATAAAGTAATAAACCAAAATACGAAACCCACTTTTTCTTTTTCATCCAGATGAAATCAGAATCCTTAGATAGGAAGTATTTTGCCTTCCACTAATTTCACTACAAGAATGCCAAAGGCCCAAAAGAAATTTACTATACTAATAAACTAGTTATTGTATTGATAATTGCAAGTGAATATCATCTTTTTGTATTGGTATTAGCTAATACAATGTAAATGAACAAATAAAAAAAAAATGATGATACTGCATCAAGCTGCAATAATGGTAAGAATTAATTGCATGGATGTAGAAATCATTAATACCTGAGTTTGGGTGTCATCACCTCTTACAATGTTTCCCACTGTTCTAAGAGCAGGTATAAGAACCGTAGGCGATGGATGACTTGTGGAAGACAAATTTTAGTTAGTACCACTTTAACAAATCTGGCAACTATTACATGAAAATAAATAAAATAAAATAAGAGCACAAAAATTCAGCCTAGAAAAAATGCAAAATGTTCCAGTAATTTGCAGAAAGGATAATTTTTCTGCACAACTAATTCTAGAAAACTATAAGAGGAATCTAAGTTAAATCGATGTCATAATTTAAAATTTTAGAGAAAACAGGAACATACAGCAGAAGCTTCACAAGTCGTGGACAGACACCTGCCTCAATCACAGCTTGAATTTTGTCATTTGGGCCGTCAGAAAGATAAGAGAGTGCCCAGCAAGCATTAGTTAAAACTTCTTCATCATTCAAGTGGATAAGTTGTCGAAGAACTGGCAATGCAGGTTTCACCTGAAAAAGCCAAAAAGAAGATAACAACATAACTAAACTTGCCCACCTTAATACAGCCAGGAAAGGAGGCCAATTATCATTAGGGTTACAAATGAGCCGAGCTGAGCTTTTAGGTGTTTAGCGTCCGGCTGCTAGGTTCATGACTACATCATGAGCTAAAGAGCCAAGATCTGCTCGGTTTGGTAGATTAATTCTAGTGACATGTGTTGCATTTTTTTTATTTTTTTTATAAAAAATCTGACTTTATTGAGAAAGTATCAAGATGATGCGAAAGAATACAAAATATCCCAATATGGGAAATCACCAAAAACAGCTAGAAAACAACTAAAAACACCTAACCAATAACGTCATCCAAAAAGTCTAAAAATGAAAACAAATCCGGATCCCCCCTCCTCTCCAACCAACTATGCAAAGAAAGTAACCAATAACCAGTTTTCAAGCCACGACACAATACGAGATAACTCTTGAAAAGTGCACCGATTTCTCTCCAGCCAAACCAACCACATCAAACAAAATGGCACCAACAACTAGACCCAGCGCCGATGACCTCCTATTCAAGCCCCCCTCCAACTGCACAATAACTCCAACTCAACTCGGCTGCACCCAAGCAACTCCAAACATAGAAAAAATAAGGCCCACAACCTCGAAGTCACGGAACAATGAAGAAACAAATGATTCACAAACTCCGCATCAACACAGCACATACAACACCGATTAACTGACACATGTCCACGGCAAACCAAATTATCAAAAGTAAGATTCCGTCCCAATGCAACTGTCCATAAAAAGAAAACCACCTTAGAATGAGCACCTAATACCCATATACTCTTCCAAGGAAAAACCTCCACTAACTCCTCCAAACTCCGATAAAATAACGAAACAAAAAACTGGCCTTTGGTACTCGCCACATCCCAAACTACCACATCTTCCCCCTTACCTATAATCCCTAATCCATACAAGAAGCTGAGCAACTCCTCCAATCGACCCACCTCCCAATCCTGAACCTGCCGATGCAACTGGACATCCCATGCCACCACACCGCCCACCTCCAAACAATCCGCAACCGTAGCCTCCCGATCCATAGCAATACTAAAAATCAAAGAGAACCACACTTCCAACGAAACCTCCCCACACCACCTATCCCTCCAAAACAACACCTTCTCCCCTAATCCCACTCGAAACTTGACCCTATCTCAGAACTGTGAATTATGTAGTTTATATTATTCATTAAGGATAGTTTAGTACTTTAGGTTATTAGGGTTTCATTCTATTACTTATATATTTGTACTTCTTTTGATTAATCAATGAACACAAGTTTTGTCATCTGTTAACATGGTATCAGAGCTAAGTTTCAAACATTAGCATACCTGTCGCAGTCGTTCTTCGCAAGGTTGTCGCAGCTCTTTCTTCCTTTTCGCAAGGCTTCGTTGCAAGGCTTCGATGATCTGTCGCATTCGTAGGTCATCACCGAAGCAGTTGGTTCTGGTTCAATCGAAACCCTAGGAAGCCGTCATCGCTGGTCTGTGGTCCTTCGTCACTGGTCTCTGGTCCATTCGAAGACCTAGGTTGGGTATCTCACTGATCTGTAGTCCTTCATCGCTCTGGTCTGTGGTCCTTCATCGCTGGTCTCTATCTTTGTCTTCATCGCTGGTCCATTTGCCTTCATCGCTGGTCTCGATCTTTGTCTGGTTCAGTTGAGGACGAGGACCAAACATCGCTACTCTTCACAAGTCAAGCATCTCTCTCTCTCTCTCTTCTCTGCTGCCTTTTACTCTGTTTTGAATGCACTGTAGTTTGGGTATACAATATGGCTGATGATAAATTGCAAGCTATTACTACTAAATTAGATGGTACCAATTATTCTTATTGGTCTCATGTGATGAAAAATTTTATAATGGGTAAAGGCATGTGGAATTATGTTATTGGTATAACTATTAGACCTGTGGAATCTCAAGAAACTGAGGCCGATGTTGCTAAATGGGATAAGGAAAATGCACAAATTCTTACTTGGTTTCATAATTCAGTTCAAACTACCATTGGTATGAATTTTTCCAAGTATTCTACTTCTAAACAAGTTTGGGACTATTTGAAGACTATGTACCTTGAGTCTAACTTTGCAAAGCAGTATGAACTTGAGATGTCTATTCGCAGTGCTAGTCAGAAAGATAAGTCCATTCAGGAGTTCTACAATGAGATGACTACTTATTGGGATCAGCTTGCTTTGATGGAACCGTCCGATTTGCAGTTACTTGACAGTTATATCAAGTATCGGGAGAAACAACATCTTGTTCAATTTCTCATGGCCCTTCGTGATCAATTTGAGCCACTTCGGGGAGCTATTCTTCATCGGTCTCCCTTGCCTTCTGTGGATGGTGCTGTCCGTGAGCTTATTGCGGAAGAAACTCGGTTTAAGGTGGCTCATGGTACTCCTGCTTCCCAGTCAGTTTTTGCCACTCCTCCGCTTTTGCCCACCCCATCTTCTCATTTATTTCAAGTTACTGGTAAGCCCAAGCCTCGGGTTTCCATGGATGAGTGCAGCTTCTGTCATCAAAAAGGCCATTGGAAACATGCATGTCCTAAACTTTTGCAGCCCAAGGGTCGTTCATCTGGTTCACCATTCGCTAAGCCGACATTTTCAGGATCTCGCTCATCTGCCGCCTTTTCTGCACCAGTTTCTGAGAATGATCCATCTTCCAATATGCAGTCTATGTTTGAGCAGTTCAAGTCTTTCATGGTGGCCAATCCAAATCTTTCGTCCCAAGCCTCCGCTATGACTACCACTCAATTCGGTTTGTCTGGTTCATCCTCTTCAGGTAATATCCATACTTCGTGGATCTTTGATTCTGGTTGTTCACATCATATGACCCCTGTTGCATCTCTCCTCAATAATTGTGTCTCTCCTTCTTCTTCTATCACTATTGCTACCGTTAATGGTTCTTCTATGCCTGTACACTCTGTTGGTTCTATTTCCTGCTCCCATTTGTCTCTTTCTCCTGTATTTTATGTGCCTCATCTCTCACTCAGTCTTATTTCTATTAGTCAATTATCTGATTCCGGTTTTGATGTTGTTTTCTCTTCTTCTCATTGTGTTGTACAGGACCGGGTATCCAAGAGACAGATTGGGATCGGGCGTAGAGTTGGAGAACTATATATCTTGGACAACTTGCATGTTCCGCTCGAAGTGTCTTCTCCTGCATTGTCTTCTTTTTGTTTAAACAATAAGTCATCTTTGTTTTATATTTGGCATTCTAGGTTAGGTCATCTATCGAGTGATCGGTTGAGGATGTTAGTTAGGTCTGGACATTTAGGCAATTTTCCCATTAGTGATATTTCTGAGTGTCGTGGTTGTAAACTGGCTAAAATATCTGCTCTTCCTTTTAATAAAAGTAGTTCCATTTCATCTTCTCCTTTTCAATTGGTCCATACTGATGTTTGGGGTCCTTCCCCTATAGTTACCAAAGGTGGTTCGCAATATTATGTAGCTTTTGTGGATGATTACAGTCGGTTTACTTGGGTTTATTTGATGACTCGAAAATCTGATTTTTACAAAATATATTCTAATTTTCACTCCATGATTCGCACTCAATTTTCTACCACCATTAAAATTCTTCGTTCTGATTTGGGGGGTGAGTATTACTTGTCTGAGTTTGAGGAGTATTTAGCTACTCATGGAACTATTCATCAGTCTTCATGTTCTGACACTCCTGCACAAAATGGTCGAGCTGAACGCAAACATCGCCATCTCCTTGATACAGCTCGCTCTTTGTTGCTCTCATCTTTTGTCCCTTCTATTTTCTGGAGAGAAGCTGTGCTCACTGCTGCATATCTTCTCAATCAGATGCCTACTCCTCTTCTCTCAGGCTCATCTCCGTATGAGCGTCTTTTTGGTGTTACTCCCAATTATTCTCTTCTTCGTATTTTTGGTTCTGCATGCTTTGTGCTCCTTAGACCTGTGGAATCTCAAGAAACTGAGGCCGATGTTGCTAAATGGGATAAGGAAAATGCACAAATTCTTACTTGGTTTCATAATTCAGTTCAAACTACCATTGGTATGAATTTTTCCAAGTATTCTACTTCTAAACAAGTTTGGGACTATTTGAAGACTATGTACCTTGAGTCTAACTTTGCAAAACAGTATGAACTTGAGATGTCTATTCGCAGTGCTAGTTGGGATTTGGTTCCATTACCTGCTGACAAGAATGTTGTAGGCTGTAAATGGGTCTATAAGGTCAAAACCCTTTCTGATGGGTCTTTGGAACGGTACAAAGCTCGTCTAGTTGCCCAAGGCTTTTCTCAGGAGTATGGGATTGATTACGATGAGACTTTTGCCCCCGTTGCCAAGATGACTACTGTTCGTACTCTTATCTCTGTTGCTGCTGCCCATCATTGGCCCCTGTTTCAACTAGATGTCAAAAATGCTTTTCTGAATGGGCATCTTGCTGAAGAAGTGTATATGCGCCCTCCACCGGGTCTCTCTCACCCTCCTGGTGTTGTTTGTCGTCTTCGCCGTGCTCTATATGGTCTCAAGCAGTCTCCTCGTGCTTGGTATGAGCGATTTCACTCTGTTGCCCTTCAGCTTGGGTTTTGCCCTAGTCATCATGATTGTGCTCTCTTTGTTCGGCGCACTTCTGTTGGGCTTGTTCTCCTTCTCTTATATGTGGATGATATGATCATCACTGGCTCTGATTATAGTATTATTGAGGAGGTTAAGCATCAGTTGTTTCAGGAGTTCGAGATGAAGGATTTGGGGTTTCTTCGGTATTTTCTTGGTATTGAGGTTGCTACTTCTCCTACTGGTTATCTTCTCTCTCAGACTAAATATGCCCGTGATATTCTTTCTCGTGCCAATCTCACTGATGAGAAAATTGTCGACACTCTTCTTGAGTTGCATGCTAAGTTTTCTGCTTCTGATGGCGTTCCTCTTGAGGATCCCACTTTGTATCGCGAGTTGGTTGGGTGCCTTGTTTATCTCACCGTTACTCGTCCGGATATCTCCTATGTTGTGCACATTCTCAGTCAGTTTGTTTCTGCTCCTCGTTCCACACACTGGGCTGCCTTGCTTCGTACTTTGCGCTACCTTCGTGGCACTTTGTTGCAATGTTTACTGTTATCTGCCGCTTCGGACTTGACTCTCCGTGCCTATGCTGACGCTGATTGGGCAGGTGACATCTCTGATCGCAAATCCACTTCTGGTCTTTGTGTTTTCCTTGGCGATTCCCTCATATCCTGGAAGAGTAAGAAACAGTCTGTCGTTGCTCGTTCCACTGCTGAGGCTGAGTATCGTGCCATGGCTCATGCTACTTCCGAGATCGTTTGGCTTCGCTGGCTTCTTTCTAATATGGGTGTCTCTCTTTCTGATCCGACTCCGTTGTATTGTGATAATCAGAGTGCTGTCCAGATTGCCCATAATTCCGTCTTTCATGAGCGGACCAAGCATGTTGAAATCGATTGTCACTTTGTTAGACAGCATCTTCAGGCTGGCACTATTACTCTCCCTTTTGTTCCCTCATCTCTTCAATTGGCCGATTTTTTTACGAAGACTCATACTGTTGCTCGTTTTCATTTTCTTCTTGGCAAACTTTCGATACTTTCTGCGCTCGCATCCTCAGGTTGAGGGGGGGTGTGAATTATGTAGTTTATATTATTCATTAAGGATAGTTTAGTACTTTAGGTTATTACGGTTTCATTCTATTACTTATATATTTGTACTTCTTTTGATTAATCAATGAACACAAGTTTTGTCATCTGTTAACAAGAACTCCCCCCTCTCCAACCAAATCCCCTTCCACAAACCCAGACCATGAGACCTACCAACATCCCCCGACCTCCAATCCCCCCTTCCCACCCCATATTTGGCAGCAACCACCCTACACCACAACCGATCCCTCTCCCAAGCAAATAGCCAAAACCACTTCCCTAATAATGCCCTATTAAACGACACCAACCTTCACACCCCCAAACCACCCACCTCCTTTGGACAACAAATCCGCCATCAATCAACCAAATGATATCTAAACTCCTCCCCTCCACCCCGAAATCCCTCTAAAGCTTCTCCAAGCGAGTCGCCACTGAAACAGGAATGACATGTAACGACATAAAGTAGGTCAGAATACTACTCAACACACTCTTGATCAATATCAATCTTCCCCCTTGGACAAATATTGCTTCTTCCATCCCGTCAACCGGCGCTGCACCCGTTCCACAACCCCTTCCCACACCCCCTTTGCCTTGTAAGTAGCACCCAATGGAAACCCCAAATAAGACACCGGCAGTGCCGACACCATACAGCCCAAAACTACTGCTAACACTGGCAACCTACCAACCTCCCCCACTAGAATCAACTCCGACTTACTCAAATTAATCCGCAAGCCCGACACCGCCTCAAAGCACAGCAAGATGCACCTTAAGTGACATGTGTTACATTTTAATTGTTGCAAGTTTTTTTTTCCCTTTTTTTAAAATAATGGACCAAAATTGCAGAGACTTTGGAAGAGCTCGTTAAGTGCATGATATGCGGGGCCACCTCTTGTATTTGTATCATATTCTACGTAAATCTTTCAAATGCCAAGGATAAACATGCATAGATTTTGAAAAGATGACTGGACAACTGACGACATGCAAGGTCCTCTTTTTATCTTTTGCATCATACATACCATATTTACCTTCAACAATCAAACTTCGAGTTACCATATAGGCACATAGTTTTTAAAGAACTACAAAACAGTGAAACAATGCCTATGCTCTCAAACATTAAAAAACTGAGCATGGGTCTGCTCGGGCTTGGTTCATTTATGAAACAAGCTTCAAGTTCAACCTTGAGCTTGGTTCATTTAATGAATAAACGAGTATGAATGAGCTCAATCAAAAATTCTTATCCTGAGCATTTCATGAACAATTCAAATCATTTGGTGCCCTAATTGTCATTAAAAATCTATAAGAATCCTTTTGCAAGATTATTGTTAAATATAAAACAATACTTTGAGATGTCTCACAACCTGCTCAAATGGTGTTGGAGGCTTGCCCCGACAGAAATTGGACAGAGCCCATGTAGCTTTTCTCAGCATAAAAAGTTTTGAGTGTTCATTCAACTGAGCTAGCAAAGGCATAAGTGCACCATTACCAAGAACAAGATCCCTACAACTTGGAGAGTCACCAGCAACATTACCCAAAGCCCATACTGCCTGTTTATACATCATAAAAATTAAGAAATGCAAATTCATTAGTAGTCACAACCAAAAATAATTATCGTGTCAACAAACAGTTAGGTGCATTACTCAGAATTTAGAACAACAAAGATTATGAAAACACTGGAAGCGAGGGATAACATTAAAATTTGGTAAGACATTGGGAAAATATAAGAAAAACAAAACAATGAAGCACAATGGAATAATACGGTTGCAAGAATTACGAAGTGAGGTGAGAAAAGGGGCTGAGCACACATTGCTATATTAAGAGAAGTTGGCAATAAATATAAAAGTTTTCAAACATTTAAAAATAAAGAATCCAGAAGTTTTAAATAGGAAATCACTTTAGAAGCATGGTTAACAAAGTCAAGTCAAACACTTTGTACAAATTTTAACAAGACTTCCAAAATGTTTAGAAAAGTTTGTCACACATGAACCTAGAATAGCAAGAGCTTCAAAGCAAAATGGGGCAAGAGTTTACCTGCTCACGGACATCATCACTGGCAGAGCTCAAAAGTAGCACGAACTTGGGGACAGCACCATGTTCATTGACAACTCGAATATGCTCTGATGTCCCAGATGCAACATTGGTCAAAGCCCATGCTACCTCAAACTGCAAACAAAGACAAAATCAAGCTTGTGCAAGATTGATTACATCAATCAGAAATAGAGCCAGTTCAGTGAAAAAAAATAAAGGTACAAATAGTCCCTACTTGCAGTTGAGGCAGATCTTGCCTTCCAAGAAACTCCACAAACCGAGGGACTACACCTGCTTTGATCACTTCGTCTATTGGAGGGCTACATTCTACACGCATCACAAACCAAAAGTCAACACTAAAAACAGGTTCATTGAAGTATTCCTAAAAATATTACCAATACCACAACTCCACCCATACCAATTGATAATAGCTTTCTGAACTGAGTAGTTGCTTCTATTTGTGCTGCAGGATCTTCAGACCATACT